CTTCTTCTTCGTTCAATAATCTGAGGCCATTTGTTTCTGGGAACTTTTAACACCAACGTCATCAAAACCATCGATGGCGCCTCCTGTGGTAGCCTGAGTCCGTTGCAAAGACTCACACTGTAAATTTCTCCATTGAGGGATGTAATTATTATTAATATTATTATTATGGTGGAAAACATATAAATACTTCTCAGGTGTGTGGGACAGGTCAACAGGTCAAAAGGTCAGCAGGATGTGGGGAGCTGTGTCTTCATCAAATTTTAATTTTTTTTTTTTTTAAAGAGCAGTTTAAAATCAGACAGGTCGTTAACAGACCAGGTGATCACAGAGTCAAGTCACATGACCTGTCGAGTCACATGACCCGTCGAGTCCTGAGACGTTTCATATCTGGAGTTCAAACCACCTGTTCATGACTGTGGCTGTTAGAAAAAAACACACCGATACATCACACATCTAGGAAAAGGAACCTGAGACGTTTCATATCTGGAGTTCAAACCACCTGTTCATGACTGTGGCTGTTAGAAAAAAACACACCGATACATCACACATCTAGGAACAGGAACAAAAAAACTGACGATGAATCCAAACCAAAATGAAACGTTATCCACTGAGATCAGATGAAAGAATGTATGTGGCCAGAAGCCCACGGTGGCTGACAGAAGGTGGAGTGGGGTGGGGGAGTGGGCGGAGAGGGGGCATCAAGAGGGCTGTTTAAGGACTTCTCCCCAGTTTGTTATCGACACTTATTTTTAGACATTATTTTAGGTCATTTTGAGAATTTAAACTGTTGTTAGAGGTCAGAGGTCAGAGGTCAGAGGTCAGCTCTGTGGGTTAATGAGTAACTGAACAACTGATCCACAGCCTCAATGATTTAACTACTTCAACAAGTTGCTCATGGTGTAATACCACCAATAGCCGCTAGGGGCTTGATTTCCAGGACACCACTGCTGTCTCCTTCAGTTTCTAAAGATCATAAGAGATTTTTTATAATTTTTTTTTGATGTTTTTCTGAAATCATTAAGTTATATTTAAACAATAAAAACAACAGTAACATATTTTTTGGGCTATGCTAACTGTTAGCTGCAACAGCTACATCCTGTTGACTCAGTGTCGCCATCGTTGAGTGAAATGTTAGTCCTGGCAGACGCCGGGTTGAAAATGTCTGGAGAAATCGTTTTAGAAAAAGTTGTTATGTAAAAGTTGTTTTATTTGGAGCTAAGAGTGTTTATAGACCGTGGTTTTGGTCTGAACCGACGTTTTTCTCACGTCTCCGTTTGTTGCTTTTTGTGACAGGGTCAGAGGTCACCAGATTTAAAACAAAACCAAACCAAAACCCAAAAATGTACTGTTGTTACGTCATACAAAAACAACAAGAAACAACAGTTTGAACTGTTTTTTTTTTTTTTATCGATGATCAAGTTTCATTCCCAGCCTCGTTAACGACTTTCCTAACGACGCCGCCGACGCAGGGCAGCGGGCTCCGAGGTTGGTTCAAGCAGCGGCGCAGATTTACGGGTGGAACCGTTAAGTAGTGGTTGAAAAAGTGATTTTCGAGCACTTTGCCACCGGGCTCATCATTAAAGAGCTGAGCTACGGCTCCCGGGGGTCAAAGGTCACTTGTGGAGGGCCGAGCAGCAATATGTCAGAGTGAGTGCTTCAGTGAGGGCTGTCACTTCCTGTCTCCAGACCA